AATCATCTGATTGTTATTAATTTTAGAGCAGCTATTAATAATATATTCAAAATATATTTTCCATCTCGTGTAGTGATAGTTGTAAGTGTTACTCCCAATAAGGCGATGTCTATATTGGATGGGATTTCCTGTTTGAAAATTACTTTTAGGGCATCAAAAATGTCTTTCCAAAACTGATTTAATTTAGGGAATTGCCAAAATATGTGTGTCATTAGCATAATCAGTTCCACATTTTCTCCAACATAATCCTGATGTTCTCATTTCTGATAGTTTTCTCGTATCCTACAGAGTTTTCTCTGGATGAAACTTTTCTGTTTTCGGTCCCAGGTGGACTCCTCCAGTTGTTGGTGGACAGAAACGGCCTCTGAGCATCTCTTTTTTTCATGTTTAGCTTTCCCGAGTTCACTGAGGACAGTTTTGTGTCTCTGTCTCTGAGTCGGTCAGTGTCCGGCATCATGAGGAGCTTTAATTCACTCTGACATTTAGATCGGCTCTCTGGGAGCTTTTTCATCTCGTTTAATGCGTTTCTGGAATCATTTTCTGTCTTTTCGTGGTCTGTGTAGTTTGGAGCCTTCTCGCATCATTTTTCTGGCAAAATTAGCTTCATTTTGAATAATTTTGTATGTTTTGTTGGTTGTTCTGTGTGTTTCCGGTGTGATTTTGCCTACTTGTGGTCATTTATGTCTCTTTATTGTTGCTTTATGCTTTTTATTGATGAGTTTGTGTGTTTTGCAGATTCATTTTGTCATTTTTCTGTAAGTTTTGTGCTCGAGTTTTCCCATTTCCAGCTAGTCAGGGTTTCAACCCTGATTGCTCAAGTTTAATCTCCCAAAATTTCAGCCATTTTATTTCGGTTTCAGAGATGCATCCAGCTGAATTCTGGCACTAAAACTGTTCTGTGTAAACACATTGGTGACAAAAAACAACTGTATTTGAGTGTGAAACATCATTTGGGCTTCTATAGCTAGAGTTTGAACCTTTTACGGGACCAATCAGAGCTCCTCTGCAGCTCGTTTTGGGGGCAGCTGAGGCTGAAACCCCCCCTCCTCTTTCTCGGTGGGGGACTATAAGTCCCGGCATGACCAGAACCGAACCGAAAAAGAACTAAACCCGCTGTTTCTTAGGGAGACGGGCTTCTTTAAAGAACGGCCACCGTTTGTTTCTAACAATAACCCCCCCCAGGAGTGACAAGCACAACTGCTGCCTCCCTCAGACAGACCAAAGCCCCCCCCCCCCCACTCCCCCCATTGTGGTCGTGCCCCGTTTGTGGTTTGACCTCTGCTGGCTTTTTTTCTGTGTTTTCTCATCACAAATTTCTGCCCTGCACGGTTTGACCCACAAATCTACAGGAAAAAAGGCTTAAAATTTGACTTATTTCTGAGTTTTAGTGTTCAAAAACTGGAGCATTTCTTTACTGACACGGCTCCATTAACCCTTTAAAGCCTCATCCAAGAACAAAACAAAACAGAAAATTACTTTTTTTTTTGTTTGAA